CGACAGTTTCAATAATTAACACATTGTATATTGTTGTCTTCTTAGTGGTTATTCATAGACATTCTTCCTAGTGGTTAATTGCTGTACAAGATGCAGACATGATTTCCTATTTACAAACATGATTAGAACAAATCCCTCTATTCATTAACAAAATTTTAGAATAATGATTTATCACTAGGAAATGGGTAGAAAAAAGGAATCAGAAGCTTTATATATCCTTTTTTTGGTTTAATTATTAAACTTTTCTGGTACTAGAAATCAAACCTAGGTGCCCTCTACCACCAGCTATACCACTAGGCCCTTTTATTGTGTTATTCTGAGACAGGGGCTCACTAAGCTACCCAGATGGGAATTTGAACTTCAGACCCTCCTGCCTCAGGCTCCCAAAGCACTATGATTTCAAGTGTGCATTTTCATTTCTTTTCTAAAAAGATAAAGAGGTGAGGTATTGACATTAAATTATAATTACTAGGTAGATTATTTCCTGTACCTTTTCATGAAATCTAAAGGACCAATAAAATTCTTATCTGACACAGGCACAAGTTTTACAAGACTATCTGTCTCCCATGAGAACTTCCACCCTCGAGACAAACTCTACCTTCACCTCATGACTCTGTTCTTACACTGATTGGATTGGCACCACCCTAATCCTGGTAGACTGGACACAACATAAGGGACAGAAAGAGGCTTGGGCTGCTCCCATTGATTTTGCTGTTTTCTGCTCCCATGAACTGCTGCCCTGTGCCATGCCCCCCTGTCTTGGAGCCACCTGATTATGGACTGAAACCTCTAAACTGTGAGCTAAATAAACCTTTCCTCTTTCAACTCCGGGTGTCAGGTGTTTTGTCTCAGCAATGAGAAAAGAAATAAGACAGTGATTCTGCTAACATACTCCTCAATGACCAACCCTCTTTAAAGTATCAGACTAGCTTTCCAGCATGCCTAGCCCCCACCTTCTTGCTCTCCCCCCATACCTCACTGCATGCACCACTGCAGTGTAAGGTCTTATACGCTTCTGGTAAGTCCTGGGAGGGGAACACCTGGGTCGAATGCAATTCCTAGCTTTAGTTTTTTAAAGAATCGTCATACTGATTTCCATAGTGGTTGTACTAGTTTACATTCCCAACATCAGTGTACAGTGATTCCTTCCCCCTCCCCAGCCTCTCTGGTATTTATTATTTGATTTCTTGATGGCTACCCAAGTGTAAATATTACATTGTTTCTCTTACATGAGAAACCCAGAATAAAGATAAAGAGTAAAATAAAAATAGGAAGTAGGAAGACAGATCATTCTCGAAGGGGGAGGGAATCAAGAGATAGATAAAGGATGAAATAAAAAAGGAACTAGGAAGTGTTATGTATGTGTACCAGCTCCACACAGAAATGTAAACAATATGACCTGCAAACATACACAAAAAGTTTTTAAAAATGAAGAGGGTCAAAGGACAAGTGAAGGAAGTAGGGAAGGAAGGAAAAGGGGGATTAAAAAGGAATTAAAATATGTTGCCAGGCATGATGGCATACAGTAATCCCCACCCTCAGGAGGCTGAACAAAAGGATCACCATGAGTCAAAGGGCAGCCTGGGCTACAGAGGGAATTCAGGGCCAGCCTGAACTATAGAGAGACACTATCTTAAAAACAAAACAAAAATGTGTGATGTACATGTACCAATTTCCTGCAATTTATGTAAATAATGTGTATTATACACATGTACTAACAAACTAAAACTTAAAATAAAAAACCCAGAGATTAAAACTTTCTTAAGGGGCCAGGGAGATGGCTCAATGGAATAAGCACTTCCCTGGCGAGCGCAAAGGCCTGAATTCAATCCCTGGTTCTGGAAAAAAAAAAAAAAAAAAAAAAAAAAAACTTTCTTAAAAATGTCATAAAGCACTGATGGCAAACCTTCTAGAGACCAAATGCCAAACTACAACCCCAAACCCACTTACTTATTGCAAAATGCCAACACTGCAATTAAATCCAAGTGCTGAGGTTTTAGTTTAGAAAAAAATAATTCCTACATTAACATCATTTGTCCTAAAATCAAAGTAACACATGTGCCATAGGTTTGCCCCCACTGCTATAAAGTTCTGCTCAGGTTCTTCTGGAATGCTTGTTCTCTAAGTGTCCTTTCTTTACTGCTGAACCCACTTCTTTACCAGCGTATTCAGTGAACATAACATAGAGAAGACACATGTAGGCGCTCTGGCCAGCAGCCCCAAGAGCCAGGCTTTCAAATCACTGTACACCACTGAGAAAGGAAGCTGCCAGATGAGCCCAGCCCTCAACCACCTGAGTGCTCCAAGCCAGCTCCAGACACTGTGGAGCAAAGATAAGCTTTTGCTGCTGTCCTAAGTGAATTCCCGACTCACAGTGTGTGAGCCTAAGAGAGTACTGTGTCATGTCACTACTCTTTAGGGGTGAGGAGAGAGGCAAAACTGGAAAAATCAGTACAAATCCAGGCCTTTATTGAATTACCAAGCTTAATTTCTTACCAGATACCACTGGTTAGTACAGATAAGGCATTTATCCAAGGTAATGGGGGCCAGGGAGATGGCTCAGTAGAATAAGCGCTTGCCTGGCAAGCACAAGGGCCGGAGTTCAATCCCTGGTTCCACCAAAAAATAAAGAAAGAAAGAAAAACGAAGGTAATGCATCACACAGATCCATATGCTAGGATAGGCTGAAGAAATTATCTAACTTTAACTTTGATAGGTGTTAGCCCTCTTGTAGCACTGAAATCTGCTCACAGAACCAGTAAGGTGAGTAAAGTAATTCCATAAATGCTCCCATGCGTATGCATGCTTGCACGAGAACATGTACGCACACACATGCAAGCTCTCCTCTCTTCTTCCTCCCTGTTCCTCTCTGCCTGCCTGTCTCTGTCTGTCTGTCTCTCTCTCTCTCTCTCTCTCTCTCTCTCTCTCTCTCTCTCTCTCCATATACAGGTAAATGCATACTCTTCCACTAACATCAAATCAGAAAAAGGAAGATATGTAGTTACTAATAATAGGGAGCTACTCATAAGGATTCACTGCTATGTGTTGTAAAACATTAATGAAACATTTTTCTCCTGAAGAATAAATTCATAAGATGGAAGATGATCATATTCTGCTGTTTCAAAAAATCTTGCTAGAGCTACCAAGATCTATGATAGATTGGAAAAAATTTTACGACACACTCTGATTTAAGACAAGTCTTAGGCCATGCATGGTGGTACACACCAGCAATACCAGCCAGCTGAGGCAGGAGGATCACTTCGAGTTCAAAGCCAGGGTGGGCTACAAAAATGTGTTCAAGGCCATCCTGAATTGCATAGTCAAAGCCTGTCTCAAAACAAAAGTTTTAATCAAAGTCACATTGAACACTTTGTTTTGTTATGTAAACCAAATTAACCTGACAGTAAAGTATTATATAACTATAAAGCAGGAAGATCAAGGCTAATCATATGAAATCTTTTATAAGAGCCATATGCAGGGACCAGGGAGATAGCTCAGTAGAATAAGCGCTTACCTGGCTAGCGCAGGGGCCTGAGTTCAATCCCTGATTCCGCAAAAAAAAAAAGAGCCATACTGAATTTAAAGCAGCATTAAAAGCTGGGTATTGGGGCTGGGGAGATGGCTCAGTAGAATAAGCGCTGGTTCCACCAAAAAAAAGCTGGGTATGGTGGCACACGCCTGTAATCCCAGTGCGTGGGAGGCTGACAATAGGAGGATCATTGAGTTTGATGTGTGCAGTGAGATCCTATAGATCCTGTACTAAATATAATATAAAAAAGTGAAATTAATGCTTCACACTGGCAATGGAAACACTTACAGTTAACAGCAAATACTCCCAATGCCTCAACTGCTCCCCTCTTATTATTACTGATCTGTAGTCAACACTGCCCTCTGGTGATATAAAGTAAAAGCATGAGAAAGAAAACATCAGACTTTATTGTTCATTTTGGTATATTTAAGTCAGGACATCTAGTTTAAACTACATAAATATTTCACCTCCACCAAAGACAACGTCCAGTATGACCTCCATTATCCCCTGTACATTAGAAACTCTTTACAAAAGTGTTAAGTCAAGGATCTTATTCATAGAAACAGCAGCTTTTAGATACATTATTAATGAAACATCACTACAGAATATATCCTATCTTCACACAAAAATATGCAACTCAAACCTAAACAACTAATTTGAAGATAACATTATACAATACAGCAACCATTGTTGAATTCCTACTACTTTGTTTTTGTCAGCACCGGGGATTGAACTCAGGCCCTGGCACTTGCCAGGCAAGCACTTATTCTATTGAGCTATCTCCCTGGCCCCCCTATTACTTTGTTTAGTGAAATTTTGTATCATTTCTGTTACTGTTTTTCTTATTGCTATGTTGTATTCTTTAAAAAAAAAGTATGGTAGCACATGCCTGTAATCCTGGCAAATTGGGAGGCTGAGGCAGAAGGATCACAAGTTCAAAAATAGTAATAAAGGGCTGACAATGTAACTCAGTGGTAGAGTGCCCATGGGTTCAATCCCCAGTAGCACAAGGAAAAGAAAACCAATTCAAGAAGGATTTTGAGGGCACATCTATACCTTATGAGTTAAGGCATGTAAAAGGGTAAGCCTCACTGTCTGTAAGTAAGAACACTGCACAGCAAAGAAGCCAGCGTTCTCAGGACATGTGTATCTAACACAATAAAATGTCCATGGAAACAGGCCTCCCAGTCTGCCATCTCTGTTCTTTAGGAAATCTGATGTGTTGTTTTAGGGGAAAAAAAAAAAGTATCTTTCAACTTTACTTAAAGCTTAAAAAAAAAAAAAAAGTGCCCAAGAAATCTGGGTATTAACCCAAATAAAGAGGCAGAAGACACAGCTATGAAATAATTTTTCAGTATTTATGCTGCCAAAGTGAGCACTATAAAATAATCTACTCATCAATAAAAAGAGCACCCTTGGCTGCTAAGTAGGCACTTGAGCTTAGGAAATGGCTCAAGGAAAGAAGACTCACCAAGGCTGGTACCATCCTGCCCCATGATGCACTTCATGGAGGTGATCACCTGCTCCACTACAGGCGGAGACATGGACGAGGCATACACTGCACTGTGAGAGTGGGTGCGCAGATAGTCGACCAGCGCCTGGGGAGTTCACAAGGGAGGCAGTTAGAGGCTGTTCTCGGGTTCATTGGCAATGTCTGTGCTTTCTTTTCACAGACATGATTGTGGCCTCCTCCTTTCAGTGCCTGGAGTCGTCTAAGATGAAAGGTCAGCCAACACGGTCAAAGCAAACTGCTCATGAGCAGTTGCTTTCCATCTCCCCATCTCTTGCGTCCCTTGCAATAACTTTACTTGTGGTTTCTCTGCCAATTCTGGCTATACCATATAAAAACAAATTCATCACACAATGACTGACTTCCACTTAATACGTTTTCAAAGTGCATCTGTGTTGTAGTGTAGACATTACAATTTACATCTTTATTACAATATTACCAACTGATTCAGCGCTGTCCCCAAGGTCTCACAGAGCAAGGGCAGAAATAGTCAAACCCAGCTCTATTTTCTTTTTTTTTTTCCCAGCTCTATTTTCATGGTTCACCACTGCCATGTTCTTAGTTATGTTGGAGCGCAATATGTATTTTTAAATTTGAAGACTACAATGCTCTGTTGTGCCCCAGGGCTAAGGTAGCTTCCTTCTTGCTGTCTGTACCTACACCTACAATGTACGTGGAGTACCCGGGCAAGGCAACTGGTCTTCTATTCCCAGTGGCTCTCATGGCAACCCCACTGCTTTTAAAACTGTAAGCACAGCTTACACCCAACAGAAGACTAGCAAACAGGAAATGCCACTGTGTGTTCTTTCACAAAAGAGGGTATTCTGTACCTGGGACCGGAATGTTTGTTTAGAAAGAAGCTCAAACAAGCAAAAACACAATGAACACAACTTGCCTTTAGCTCAATGAGGCAACATAAGAGACATTCTCGTGAGCAGCTAAACTGGGAGGTCTTCTGGAAGTGGGACCCTGCGCCACAAATTCAGGGTGTCTGCACCTTAGCTCAGGCTCCCATCCATTACAGTTACCAAGTCCAGCAGCTACCAGCTTCATCTTTAATTACCCATTCTCAAGACCCTCTTACCTTCTTGCCTCCAATGTATCCTCCAGAAGCACCAAAGCTCTTTGTGAACGTTCCCATCATAACATCCACGTCCTCAGGATCCAGGCCAAAGTACTCCACCACACCTCGACCTGTGGGGCCGAGAGCCCCAATGCTGTGAGCCTCATCCAAATACAGGTAAGCCTTGTATTTCTTCTTGAGGGCAATCACTTCTGGAAGGCGAACAATCGACCCCTCCATACTGGCAAAACAGGATTAAAAAAATACACCACTGAGACTTTTTTTATATTCTCAAATTTAGGAACTGTTCACTTTGTGTTTTTAGTTCATGCATCTATGGTTTCAAAGTGACAAAGTCAGATGAAGCCACAGTTAAACAGTCTAGGGAAAAGGAGATTAGATCTTTTAAGACAAGTGCCAAAAGATAACTGATTTTCATCTATGACATCAGTAAAGTCCCAGCAGATGCTTCTAGTCTTTTTTTTTTTTTTTTTTTTGGTGGAGCCGGGGATTGAACTCAGGCCCTTATGCTTGCCAAGGAAGTGCTTATTCCACTGAGCCATCTCCCTGGCCCCACAGCAGATTCTTCTAAAGTCTGCAGTTATAAACAGCGTTAGACTTTGTATTGTGTTGCACACACAATTAAAATTAAACAAAAAAATTAAAACAGTAAAACAATAAGTAAAGGGCTGTGAAAGTTAACCAAAGAAAAATATTTTTAAAAATTAAATGGCATGTAATTTATTTTAGAATCTTTTTTTTTTGGTTTTAAGGCAGGGACTCACTATGTAGTTTAGGTGACCTTCAACTCACAATGTAACTCAGGCTGGCCTCAAATTCACAGCAATCTGCCTGCCTCAGCTTCCTAAAATAAATTATGATTATAGGCTGAGTGAGATTACAGGTATGAGTCACCAGCCTGGCTTAGAATTTATTAATTAACTTATTTTTATGTATTCAGTACAGGGTCTATAGGGTCTCACTACACACAATGGACTTGTAGTAATCCTCCTGCTTTCAGCCTCCCAAACACTAGGATCACAGGTGCGTGCTACCATGCCCAGTTTCAATTGCTTTCTCTGCACTCTCTGGAGGCTGGGGGCGGTATGCAGGGGTAGGGGTGGGGTCAGGCACAGCAACTGGTGCCTGAGATCGAACCCCAATCCCTGCACCTGCCTAAGCAGGCGCTTTGGTCCGCTGAGCTATCTGGCTGACCCAGAATCTATATTTTTGCCCTTATGTGTGGAGTTCACTCTACATACAGTAGAAAAATAAAGGACCTAAATAGAAAGGGGAACTTGTAGGCTATGTAGTATTCAGACAAAAAGGCTTCTGTTCTATCCCAGTGCAAAATTTGCTACTAATAATTTTATTGTTTTGAGACAGGGTCTCACAATTTAGTGCAGGCTGGCCTTGATCTCGCTTATGTAGCCCAGGGTGGCCTCAACTCATAGTGATCCTCCCCCCTCAGCCTCCCAAGAACTGGGATTACAGGTGTGAGCCACCACGCTTTACTCCTACTAGGTACTTTAGAGTTATAATCATTGTTTCCTTAGTTTCCAGATGGAGCAAGTCTAGTACTCTTCCACTTAAGAATTCTTTGACTTTAAGAGCCCAAGACACACAGGTAAGACCAGTGAAACAGATTACCTATATATTCCTTCCACGAGGATTAGAATTTTCTTCCAGGGCCTTCGTGTCCGAGGCTGACCATAGACAATGGCATCTTTCAATAGTTTCTCCAAGCTTTGCATATCTACAGCACACATACAAAAAAAAAATTGAGTCACAAAGCATCTTCCTCCCTTCTAACTATATTCCAAAATTCCATATTTCTCAATCAGAAAGTGTGGCTCACACAGTGAAGGACATCAACATAATCAGAGATGAAAAGAAAGATAAGGGGGCTGGTGAGAATGCTCAGTGGTCTAAAGTACCTACTTAGAACAAGCTAAGCTAAGCAAAAGCACAGGGACTGTGGTTCAATCCCTAGCACCATATACCAGCCAGCTCCGCCCCTTGGTGGGCTGAACTGGCCACACACAAAAAAAATAATTAAAAAAAAAAAAAAAAAAGAAAGATAAGGCAAATGGGTCAACTACTGTCGCCTTAAATTGAAATTTAAATGTTAACCTGATTAAATGGTGGTTGATTGCTTCAGTTGCTTAGCACGTTTATGGCCAATGTTTCATGCTAAATGTCTTACCTTTGAGTTACCTTTTAGAATCAAACTATATCTAAACTTAGTAAGGGCTGGGGAGATGGCTCAGTGGAATAAGCACTTCCCTGGCAAGTGCAAGGGCCTGAGTTCACTCCCCAGTTCCGCAAAAAAAAAAATAAAATAAATAAATAAATAAATAAACTTAGTGAGTCACTCAGAAACAAAAGCACAAAGACCTATTAAGAGGTGCAAATGTACCTCCTAAAAAATAAATAGGGAGGGAACAAACTTTCAAGTATATGATTTCCTTTTACCTGACACTTATTCAAGAAATGCTTTGCTATCCTTATCTTGGTACAGGGTTAAATATACATCAGTCTGAGGGGGCTGGGGATTTGGTTCAGCGGTAGAATGCTTGCCTAGCAAGCTGGAAGCCCTGGGTTCAATCCTCAGCACCAAAAACAAAAACAAACAAACAAAAATACATCAGTCTGGAGCATGTATGAATCTATGTGTTTTGGGAATTCAGCAATCAGCTGTGACTGTTCCACATTTAACTTCATCAGCTGTCTAATTCTGAAATGAAATCCTTAAAAATTTTCCCCAAATATATCAGCAACACTGTGATGCATATTTGACAGGCATGAGAAGCACAAAACCTGACTTTGTATTTTTTTAGTGCTGATCACTGAAGGAAGGGTTTACAAAATTAGATGATTTTTGCTCTTTGCATGCAAGAACTTTGGAGCCAGGTACCACACAGCATGCCTGTCATCTCACTATTTGGGAGGCTACAGCAGGAGGATCCTGGAATTTGAGGCCAGCCTCGACTACACAGTGAGTTCAAGGCCAGCCTAAACTGTATAGTAAGACTCTATCTCAAACACACTCTCTCTCTCTCTCTCTCTCTCTCTCTCTCTCTCTCTCTCTCTCCAAGCCGGAGTGGGACCCTGCACCAAATAAATAAAAAAATTTTAAATTTTTTCTGAAAAAGGACAGTAAAAAGGTTCTTAAAATGTACAAAAAAAAAAAAGTTTGAAAATGGCCTACTTATAAAAACATATAAATAATAACTATATATAATTGTTCTAAATCTAATAAAGAAATAAAAATGAACATACAATTTACTTCTTATATTCAGAAAGATCTGGTTTGATACACAACAATCTATGTTGGCCAGTGAACAGAACAGTCCTGTCCTGTTGTTTCTATAATGCTTAGGGGTAATCTGAAGAAGTCTTAAACATTCTTGTCCTTTAATCTGGCAATCTGAGCGTGCCAGGGACTAAGCAGGTATGCGTAACTGTGAGTGTAGTGCTGCTTCTAGTAGAAACAACCCGAGGTCCAAACAGAGACAGACTAACTTGGGGCATGCCCTGGTGCTGACTGCACACTAGCCTTAATTAAAGGGCAGATTAAGTGCTACCAGGAATGACAATCCACATTTAAAATGAAATTTTTTTTTTTTTGAAAAAGATTATGCAATGTTTAACATGGTTTCATTCATACAAGCCCAATAGCAAAATACTGTAACATTTATATCAGTCTCATCCTAAAACTCTTTTTTGTTTTTGAGACAGGATCTCTCTATATAGTCTTGGCTGTCCTAGCTTACTATGTAGCCCAGGCTGATCTCACACTCACGGTGATCCTCTTGCCTCAGCCTCCCCAGTGCTAGGATTCAGGCATGTGCTACTATACTTGGTTGCAAATCATTTTCAACAAGACAAGAAAAAAAGAAATTTACCACCATTATTAGTGTTTCCCTCCACAGGGCCGTGTGGACCTCGCATTTTTGTACATATTCTTCTCGACTTTGATCTGTATGTCCATACATTTTGGTCAAAGATGATTTTTAAATACAGAGTTTGGTCATCTCTTCTCCCTATGCATTTATTTACTTATTTATTTTTTGCAGAACCGGGGACTGAACTCAGGACCCTGAGCTTGCCAGGCAAGGGCTTATTCTACTGAGCTATCTCCCCAGGCCCCTATGCATGTTTTAACTACTACAATTATGGTGCTTGTTTTATTATTTTTTAAATTTTATTTGCATTTATTTTATGCTTAATTTATTCCCATGCCGTAAGTTTTTGTTTCTTCAGCTTCTTCTGGGATCTGGGCTATCTTTTTCTTCTGTGCAACTTCCTCCTCTGGTTTAGCAACAATTTGCTCCTTTTCAGTAAGGATCATCTCAATATGGTAGGGCAGCTCATGTATGGGTTAATCCGGCCATGAGCTCTATAAGTACGGCAGCGCATCTTGGGTGCTTTGTTTACCTAGATATGTTCAATAACCAGAGAAGCTACATCTAAACCCTTAAGGTCATCATTACTCTCTGCATTTTTAAGCATGTGTAGCAAAAATTCAGTACTCTTTTGGGCCACCTGTGTCCAGTTCCATTGTTTGGCCTGGGCACACCTACCAACTCCACCATTGTAACGCCGGAATGGTACACTTTGCTTCTTTTTTTTTTTTTTTAAAGTGTTATTTTATTATGTGTGTGTGTGTGTGTGTGTGTGTGTGTGTGTGTGTGTGTATGGCCAGCTCAGCCCACCAGGGGGTGGGCTGGCTGGCATGTGGTGCTGAGGGATTGAACCGCAGTCCTTGTGCTTTGCTAAGCTTGTTCTAAGTAGATGCCTTAGACCACTGAGCCATCTCACCAGCCCCTACACTTTGCTTCTTTAATGTGACATCCTTCAGATACTTGGTGGCCTTTCAGATACGCATACCCTTGATGGCCTGGGCAGTTTCACACGGGTTCTTAAAGTGAATGCAAAGATTTAAGCCTGGGGGCTGGTGAGATGGCTCAGTGGTCTAAAGCACCTACTTAGAACAAGCTTTAGCAAAGCCCAGGGACTGCGGTTCAATCCCCCAGCACCACATGTCAGCCAGCCCTGCCCCCTGGTGGGCTGAGCTGGCTACACACACACACACACACAAATAAATAAATAAAATTTAAAAAAAAAAAAAGATTTAAGCCTCTTGATTTGCATGATTTTGTGAGGTTTTTCTGGGTCGAGAGAGTAGTGAACCATTTTCACAGGTCACCTCAGGCTGCTCACAGGAAGAGATGGTGTTCATTTGAAATGGCTTTTTTTTTTTCTTTTTGATTGGTCTCACTACGCAAGTCAGACTCATAGTGCTCCTCCTGTCTCAGCCTCCCCAGTTCTGGGATTACAGATGTGCACCACCATGCCTGGTTTGGGGGCTGTGCCCAGGGTTCTAGGGCCTTCACAGCATGTGGTGCTGGGGATCGAACTCAGGACCTTGCGCTTGCCAGGCAGGCAATTAGACCGCCGAGCTATTTCCCTTGCCCTGTTTTTTTGACATAGGGTCTCACTATGTTGTTCAAACTGGCCCTGAACTCACTATGTAGCCCGGGCTGGCCTTCACCTCACGGCAATCCTGTGTCAGGCTCCCAAGTGCTAGGATTATAGGTTTGCGCCACCAAATCAGGCTATTTTTTTCAAACAATACACCGAAGTATATGTTTCCAATTAAGAAGCAAAGGTTTTGGCTTTGTTCTCTCTCCCTCTGCTCTAACTGCACTGGTGCATCTCTGCATTTCGGCGTCTCTTGTGTTTTAAGTGCCAGGTTACCTGCTAAATCTCATTAACCAGAGATCCTTGAAATTAGGGAGGGATCCTAATTTACTCATCTCAATTTCCCTGGAGGTGTAGGAGGATACACCACAGGTAGTTAGTGAGTGGATCTGAATGAGGAAAACAGGATGGAAAATTTCAGTCAAATAAAAGAGTGTATTTTACATAAGCTTCCTCTGACCTCTCTGTTTATTCCAATGAGATCAACTGTTAAAAGGCCAGACCAAAAAAAAATTTAAGTGTTTTACTTCAGCTCCATTTGTATTTTCAGTATTTCATTAGTTACAAATGTAACATGACCACCATAAAGCCAGTGGTGAGTTTCATGACAAACTCACTGTTATGCTTGAAGATTCGAATAGTTGCTCCTGACAGTCTGGCTCCTAGAACCAGTGATGCGTGGTTCAGCTCATCACTCAGAATAAGGCAACCCTGCAAAATCACAAGACAGGAAGTTAGACAGTGGAAGGGCACAAGCTAGTTACACAAATTACAATATAATTATATCTTTTTTTTAATTTTTAATTTTTATTTATTTATGTGTGTGTGTGTGTGTGTGTGTGTGTGTGTGTGTGTGGCCAGCTCAGCCCACCAGGGGGCGGGGCTGGCTGGCATGTGGTGCTGGGGATTGAACCGCAGTCCCTGTGCTTTGCTAAGCTTGTTCTAAGTAGGTGCTTTAGACCACTGAGCCATCTCACCAGCCCCTATAATTATATCTTATGAAAGAAATTTTCCAAAACAGCAAAGTGGTTAATTTCAAGAAAAAGTACTTTTTTTTTTTTTTTAAAACAAAGACATATAGAAGGAAATGCAACATACTAGCCTACTTAATATCCGTAGTCCTATCACTAACTTAAATATTCAGGTACCTAACATCAGGTTCTTATTTATACTTAAAATCTGACACAGGACAGTCTTTAGAAGGTTTTGGCTTCTTTGATTTGAGCGCACTGTGCTTCGGTTTTGCAGTGATCCACTGCCCATCGGTGGGGAACAGACACTGCAGGGTACTGCCACCTTAGAGCTGGTGTTTCCTCTCCAGCCAACAGCACTGGGAGGCCAAGAAGGACACTGTGTGTGAGCCGCGGGGTGTGCTGGGCCTCAGCCTTGTACTTAAACTCTCCAAACAAGCTTCAACATATAAAAATAGATTTCTGCTAAGGCAACAAGAAAAGACTGAGGTTTTAAATTTTTTATTTCTTCCCCAGTTCTATGCTTCCATCTCTCATGGGGCCCCACAGCCTGTAACATATGAACTTTAAAATAAGTTTTTCACCATCAAATATGGGTTGAAAAACTTTTTTACATGAAAAAATAAAAACAGTACAAAAGGTATAACATGCTTCCATGAGAAAAAAAATGTCAGTCAGCTAGCCGATTCACTCATCTATATTTCTGTCTGTTACTACATTCTGTCTGGCTGAAATTTTTACTGTGCATAGTTTTTATTGCTAAGGTAAAAGCTACCTAGTTAAAAACATATAGATTCAAAAAAGCAGAGTTAGAGGTATAAATGTGATTTTAAAAATTCATATATATTGTTTCCTCACAAGATGTGTGTATATGTAAGACCTAGTATATATACATACATTTATACGTACATATCTATTCACCAAGCCTTGAGAAGCAGTGAAAGCCTGTAGCAAAAAATAGACCTGGTGCCTATATCTTGGTTTCTAAAAATAAAAACCCTCGCGTTCCTTAGAGAGCTGGCTGATTCCGAAGCTGTTATAGGGAAAACACAAGATGGGCTTGGGGCATTTTATGATGCAAGAAAGTCAAAGTAACATTATAAAGTAAGTAATTAAAATCCACACTTAACATATGAAGAAACTCCCAGGCAGGTGTTAAAACTCTTACCAAGGTCACAAGTTAAGTGACTGGAAAGAAAGCTCCTGCCTCAGCCTTATCACTACAAGACTCCAAACCTCTAAACTGACGGTCAACCACCCACAGAGAAACTGAGTATCAAGAATTACTACACTTGGCCGGGGAGAGGGCTCAGTAGAATAAGTGCTTCCCTGGCAAGTGCAAGGGCCTGAGTTGAATCCCCAGTTCCGAGAAAAAAAAAAAAAAAAGAATTACTAAACTAGATCCTGCCCTGAAGAGAATAAGTGGTACTTAATAGGGTTTCAGCTGATTTGGAAGGGAAACCTTCAAGGTAGTACCTTGGCAGAAGAAATTTAATTCTAGATAAAGATTTGTTAGAATGAATCTATGGGCATACAGGAAAATTAAAATGAGATTATTTTATTCTCTAGTGTAAAAATCCCTAAGAAATTCCAAATCAAAATTTTGGGTTTATACTGCCAGAATGCAAGACTACAATGTAATATAGTGAAAGCAAAGAACTACGTCTTCCAAGGATTTCTCAATTTTATACAAGCTGTATTTATTGGTATGATATCATTTCCATTAACCACTGTTAAGTAATGATGGCCTTTCTATTTAAGGAAAGCCACCTATTCAATAACTCTCTGAACAAAAACTTTCATAATTTTAGTTTTTAAGAAATGTCTATTATCAGAATCTCTTCAGAACTGTGTATGAAATGATGAAAGCAAGAGTCATCTAATCGAGGAAGGGAAGATCATAGGTTCTAGAAAGCAAGCCCCAACTAATAATAACAAGGCTCCACGGGATCTAGCTGTCAAAAAAATCTGTGATAGAAATCTCTTTGGGTAAACTATGCTTACTCTAAAGTTAAAAATAGTTCATGGCTCATTCTGAATCTTTCCTGCCTTCGTTCTTTCCCCTCCCTTCTTCTCTCCTTCCCTTTCTTCTTCCTCTGCCCTCCCTCCCTCCATCTTCCCCTCCCTCACCAGGTTCACTACGTAGCCCAAGCTGACCTTGAACTCATGACAATTCATCTGGCTCAGTCTCCTAAATGCTGAGATTACAGGTGTGCCCCACCACACTCAGCTTAAATGCTTTATTTTTTTTAAATGCTTTATTTTTATGTTTTTGTTTTTTGGCGGAACCGGGGATTGAACTCTGGCCCTTGCGCTTGCCAGGGAAGCGCTTATTCCACTGAGCCATCTCCCCTGCCCCTTTATGTTTTTGTTTTTTGAGACAGAATCTCATTATGTAGTTCAGGTTGGCCTTGAACTTGTGGTGATCCTCCTGCCTCAACCTCCTGAAAGGTGGGATAACAGATGCATGCCACATCACCTAAACTGAATGCTTTAACAAAAAAAAAAAAAGGTGGAAGACAAAGAAGAGGAATAATAATAATAATAATAATAATTCAAAGAATTTTCACAAATGACAAAATGTCTTACCTTGCCAACAAGTGCAGGAATGTTCATTGAATTTGTTGCGAATCCCATGCCATATGCCATAGCAGCTTCTACTCCTAAGAATCTTGCTATAAGCTTTTCTAGTTCTTCATGCTTATCTAGGTTTCCTGTATGAAGAAGTTAACAAAGTCAGGATCATGGAATTCTAAACTTAATGATCACTATTTTATAAAAAGAAATCAGTCTGTATACTATGATCTTTCAGACTAAGTTCTATGAAGGAGTCATTATTACAAAGCATGATACCTGATAATGAACACAGGAATTGAATAAATTCAGATCCAGCACTTGTGGTAAAGAAGAGGTTGCCAACAATTTCATTTCTGTACATGCCAATTCCAACAATTTCATGTCTAGCTTTATTTATTTATTTTTTAATAAAAACATGGAACGCTTCACGAATTTGCGTGTCATCCTTGCGCAGGGGCCATGCTAATCTTCTCTGTATTGTTCCAATTTTAGTATATGTGCTGCCGAAGTGGGCACCCAACTCTAGCTTTAAAAGGTCTAGCAAATTCTGTTTTTACTGAGTCCCCTGCCATGCAAAGCTGTAATGGGCCTGCAGTAGAGGCAGGACATATAGAAAAAGGAGCTCTGGGAAGAAGAAAAATGGAAAGGAAGAGGGACAGTGAGGGGAGGGTCAAGGAAAAGGGAAGTCCTCGACACACCCTTAGCACCTCAGTAAATTAGCCACTCTGGACACTCTACCCTCAGTCCCTGTGGCCCAGGTGATACCATATCCGGCCAAAACAGTACCACGCCCTCCTCAAGTCACAAACAAAACTGTTTTACTTATTTATTTGTGGTGCTGGGGATGAAATCCAGGGACCCAAGCATGCTAGGGAAGTGCTCTAGGACTGAGCTACACTTTCAGGCTCTCTGTTGTTTTAAATAATTAAGCTTTAGGATGGTTTATTATGCAGCATGAACAGGTAAAAAGCATCTTCAGGGCTGGAGGGATGGCTCAGTGGTCTAAAGCACCTACTTGGAACAAGCTTGGCAAAGCACAGGGACCGCGGTTCAATCCCCCAGCACCACATGCCAGCCAGCCG